TGCTACGATCAGTGGCTCTTAAAACCTCAGTAGCCCCCCTTCAATAGTGAACTCTGCGATGTGAGCGCCCTTACCTTCAGTGTCCGGAGACTGCTGCAAACCTCCGACGAGAGTGGACGTCTTCTCCGGGCTCCGCAAAGCCCAGAGAATTGTACGCGACTGTACGTGATCCTGGTATAAACATCGCCGCGCTCCGTTGGCCCGCCGCAGCACGTCCGCCGAGAGATCGGTTCGCTCGAGTCTCGTTCTGCGAGCGGCACGCCCGTTTCTGCTTCGAATATGGCTACAGCCGACTTCGCCGCTTCGCAGCTCACCAATATCTCTGCGTCCATCCTGAGAGAGGACATGAAAATCTCTCTAGAGCGAGACGACCAAGGTGGGAAATGGATCACCCCTGGAAAGCCCCGCAAATCTCGTCTTCCGGCCGACTTTGACCCCGAACTTCACGTAGTTATAGTGCATCTCCCAGTCCGTCCTGCTGGCGCAGCTGCGCTGCCTCTTGACAGTTTGCCGGCGTTCTTGCAAGCCGCACAGCTCCTTGCTCATACATGTACCGACGTGTCGCTCCACCTCCGGCAAAATAACCGTCCTCCGCACCCATCACGAAGCGATCGTCAACTGGCTACTTCGCATCACCAATATCACCTTACAAAACATTTCCCCTCCCGTCCACTCCTACCTACCCCCGACGAGATCATCAATGATCTGAAGTCTTATCAAGGTGACATCCTTCACGCAAGGCGAGTAGGCACAACAGGTTCAGCCATCATCACCTTCATCGGAACCCATGTCCCTTACACAGTGTACTACCGCCGCCTTGAATTTCGCTGCCGTCCCCACAAACCTCGAGCCCATCATTGCAACAGCTGTGTCGAGTACGGACACCGCACTCTGGCCTGCCCGGGCAACCTGCGATGCTGCCCCCCGTGTTCCACCACCCTGGCCCGCCCAGACGAACCCCAACCCTGTACTCCCTGGTTTGCGTTGCTTCAACTCGCAGTGTGGTTCTCAAGCAGGGCACTTGGTCCCGAATAAGCTGCTGCACCTTCACTCACTCCATGAGACGCATCCCTGAACAGTTCTAGCGGCATGTAAAGCGTGGATGCAGGATTCGGTTTATGGCAGTCACCTTGACAATTGCTGCAGTGGAGCACACTGCTTACAGAAAGGATCGTGCTAAGAACTGTAGGGGTGTGCTGGTCGTGGTACCTTTTCTACTACTCTTTTGGCGACGCCACGACCTGGAGCTGGAACCTCTCACAAGCATGGCAAGGGGCTGCTATACTGTGCATGCTACCTGGCTTCCGTGAAAGCTGAGTCCTATGACCTGCCCAGCGAGCCACTGGTGCTCATTAACACGATTTAATTAAATGTGTGCATACTAGACGTCTTCAAGTTGAGTCGCTCGGAGTGCAGTGTATACCATGGAATCATTTCCAGTGGCCCCAAATACTCGACAGTTCGACGGTACAGTGTGCTCAGTCCACTTGTTCTCAACATGTTTATTAATTGTGATCCCTGCAATCAACTCCACTGCTGTTACGAACGACCCGATACTGGTGCCGCTTATCAGGTGGCCCAAGAAACCACCAGGGTTTGCAGAACAACATCGACAAGGTCTACTATAAGCAGCCAGCTATGCTTCTTCGCACAGCCTGACGAAAGTTTTGTTCAAAACGTGTGGAACACTGGGTTTTGTACTTAGCGTGTCCAGTAGACCAGGCCATAACAGACTTACGTGCCTTTCACCAGTGGTGTACCAACTTGGTTTTGAGTGGGGGGGGGGGGGCAAACTAAACCCCCTTCCCCTCCCCTCCTCCCCCCCCGGGACCGAGGAGCGGTGCCCTTGGTATCCCTTGGGCGCTGCCAGCCAGTGTTTGCCCTGCCCAGTGGTGGCTGTTTTAGGGGGGGGGGGGGGGAGCAAAACACATGACTTGCCCCCCCCCCCACTCTAAGAACTGGGGGACAAGCGCCCCCCTTGACCACCCGGTTGGTACGCCCATGCCTTTCACAGCCCTGGTCCTGCCACACCTAAAGTATTGCAGCTCCATATGAGACTCCTGTGAGGTTGATCTTGTAAGATCAGTTGAAAGTGTTCATCGAAGGGCAACTATACACTATTCTTCGGCAGCCAAGCTCACTCCGGATCACTCACTGCTTTGACATTGGCTAGAATTCTGGCCCTTCAATGGACGACCAGAGTTGATCTCAAGTGTGGCCCTCCAGCGGGTTGTCTTATTATGCCTCCTAAACAGCGTTGTGGAACTGCAAGTTCATGAGACAGCACTGAAGGGAGTTGTTTGCAAGCATTGGGCTGGTGCCTTTCAACCGTTTCGTACTGTAGAGCAACAGCCTTCCTTCTTGGTGTGGTCTTCACTGTTCTGGCAATCCCTTTATTTGCACTCACGCAGAACCCCCCTAACAATCATCACAAGCTCGAAAACATCTGTAGACAGGAAACTCGCTACCTTCACTCCCACTGAGGTAGAGCAGTGCCTATGTGCTTTAACGTAAATTGCAGACTTTTACTTGATTTCTATTTTGTGTTTCCCCCACTTTTATTTGTTGCTTTTGCAGGGTACTGCGGGTTTCTTGGTATAGTCTTTGGCCTCTTTACTATAACGAATTGCTCTTAGCAGGATTAGACGATAAAAGCACTTCTAACGCTTTTATCCTCTACATGGTACTCTTTGGCACACAACTGTACTATTTTATTCAACCTAACGAAAAACGGATTTTATGTCCGTTAAGTAAGAAACGGACACATTGTCCGTCAGAATTACGACAAATTGTTTGTAAAATTACGGAAATTTTTTACAGTGCTGATAAGATTACAGGGTGTCTCAAATAACAGCCAGACTCTTTAAAGGGACAATGAAGACGATTTTATTTAATTTTTTTAAATAATGTTTTTATGCTTCTTGGGAACATAGCATGCTGCCCAATTTTTTGTAGACATTTGTGACGCGTATTTCTGTGCCTACGAAAGAAGTAAAGATACCGAAACTGAACAATCTTCATTCTCGCTTCTGGGCCTCCGAAAACGGAGGTGACGTAGGGAGTGACGTCGAGTGTGAATAGTCGGTATTGGTAGTATTTAGGAGATCGGACTCTTATTACCGCGGTGGGTTATAACAGCGCGCTGGCGCGGTGGCGCGGCCGTTTCGTCGAATCTGTCAACATAGACGGCAATGCCGCTCTCGCGAGCGAGTTCGACCTTCCCTTCAGTAACCCAACACAAACGGAACGGGAGCACGTGTGTGGCGGCCTCCGCCATCACCCGAGGGAGACCGCCCAACCGATAACGAGCGGCCCGAATGCCGAAGTGCCCATAGTTGCTCGGTGGCCGTTTCGCGTCCAGCGTAGCAAAGAAAAAAACAATTATGCTGCTTTATTTACGGTTTAGTAATCATTTCCGGTCCGATTTATACTTTTCATGGCTATTCAAGCGCAAATTAGAACAGTATTCCTAAAAACTGAAAATCAAAACGTGACCGAGGACGCGTCTCTCGTTTCAACCAATCGCTGAGGCGTCTTTGTGACGTCGCGCTTCTTGGCCTCGCATCGGTCACGTGAGCTCCGCTTCTCCTGGCTTCTCCCGCAACTCTCGGGGCGTCGCTCCAGTCGATTCCGGTACGATTATTACGGCGACTGTTTAATTGATTTGCGCGGCATACAAGCGCCGGTTTCGGCTGAAATTTGGGCAACGTGGCCTGAGATGTGCCTGGAACCCAGTTCAATCGCCAAAAAGATTTCCGAAATTGCCTTCATTGTCCCTTTAAATCGTCCAAAAAAATCGGTTTCTTAACCTATCACGCTACAATTTTGTGCAGCTTTGTCCTCGGGTGGCGCATTTTTTCTATAACATTTGCAAAGAGTGAACTTACATGAGGATGAGTAAACCGAGAAAAAAGTCTTAATTTCTATGGAAACGCAGCGAAGCCACCGGTCTTCAAACAACAGGGCGCCATTCGGCACGAGAGACAAAGAGATGGCGCGAGCGGTCGAGACGCCAACTGTCGGCAACGAACACGGATACGGTGCCTAGAGCCGGCGTCAAATAGCAGGCAATATTTTCGACTCTAAAGTTGCGCGAGCTTTTTCGATGTCGCTTTCCAATGGATGATTTGATCATCCTTATTAAGAAAGCAGACTAAATAGATACGTAATTTATTAAAAAAAAAATCTGGTTTGTCGGGTTATTTTGACTGTTTGTTTCACGGCACTAATGTCGTCTACTTTGCAGTTTCTTGTTGTTACGGTGCCTGTTTTTTGGTTCTGCGACTGTCGCCGCCTGCGGAAGGCGCGCCGCTTTTGAGTCGAAAAAATCGTCTGCTAAAGACGCCGGCTCTCGGCGCTGTATGCTCGTTCGTTGGCGGCAGTTGGCGTCGGGATCGCTTCTGCCATCTCTTACCTCCCGTGCGAAACGGCGCCTTATTGTTAGAAGACCGGTGGCTTCGCTGCGTTTAATAAAAGTTCAGCTTTTTTTTTATCTTTTTTTTTATTAAGCTCGCTCTTTGCAAATTTTATAAAAAAAAATGAATCACCTCTGGGCAACGCTGCACAAAATCGTAGCGCGATATGTTAAGAAGCCGATTTTTCCGGTCGACTTAAACAGCGTGGCCGCTATTTGAAACACCCGTTACATTAGGGGAGGCAGGCTATAGTCACGAAATGAGAACGGCAAGGAGGTTTAGTTACCAAGCCTCCAGGACGACCTTCCTACCTTTTAATACTTCGACGATTAGTGAGGCTCGGCCATGAACGCGCAGTCAAACAAACTGCAGTGGAAGGCATGAAGCGCGTGTTGGTGGCCAGGCGTTCGAGAGACACGCGTGTCGCTTCAAGTCTACCGGTGGCTATGACCGTACTTCCGTTTCCCGCACCTCTATCGCTACTCCTTTTTGGGGGTCGTGACCCACAGTCTGAAGTAGCACTGGCTTAAAGCACTACACTCGTTTCCACAACTGCAATAAAAAAGCAAGTTTTGTGCACACTTCTTACTTTTCGCTAAGTATTTATACAGGATTTCATTATCAAAAACAAAACGAAATATTTCCCTTTTGAAATGCGTTTTCAGAAAATATCTTAAATATCTTAATTATTCGCATGAAGGGGAAAATTATCACCGATCCGCGATGAGCCAATTTTTTGTGCCGATTCTTGGTTCTGTGCCTTTTCAATGATTATATATAGTATAGTCAGCGAAACGTTCGCTACCGCTATGAAGCTTTCATAATGCCTCTTTTCAAAAAGAAAGCTGAAATAATATTGCTTTTGGGGCGTGTCCAAAGTTGCTTTATCGACGTCGGTAATAGGGTCTCGCTTCATCTCTCAAAATAGCTCTTGGTGGCTAGGCACCCAACTTTTGTCTAAAGGAAGAACACGTTCTTGAAAAACTCTCTGTCGTCCTCGTTGCGTTCGTGGTTCACGACGGTGTACAGGTCGTGTCTGTGGTGCTTCCTTATGGGCGTCTCCTTTCTCAACGAAGACAGATGGTCCAAGTCAACTTCCGCCATTACCACTGCTTCATCATGTCCCGCCGACTGCACCACATCTCCCCGCGGATCGATCAGCATGCTGTGTCCGCAAGAACTAAAAGTCGCGTCTTGGGTCCTCGCAGCTGACACCGATGCCACGTAGATCTGGTTGTCTATCGCGCGCGCTCTTTGAAGCAAATCCCAGTGAAGAGGACTCAAAGTCGTGTTGAAGGAACCAGAAAATACCAGGAGCTTGCAACCAAGGTCCGCGTAGAGGTGCGCTAGAGGGGCGAACCTCACCTCTTGGGAAAGTCCGACTGCCACTTTGCAGAAGGGAGTGTCGAAGGTGGTCAGGCGATCACCGGGCGTCAAGTAATCTGACTCACGAAACGCTTGCCTGCCAGGAACGTTTACAACGAGGAGGTTCAATCTTCGATGCTTGGCAACCATGGAGCCATCGGGACCGTATACCAGGCAGGTATCATACATTTTTCCGTTGTCCTTTTCGGCCATAGAACCTCCGACGAGGTAGATCTTGTTCTGTTTTGCGGTAGAAGACAACATGTCACTTGTCTCTCCTGGAATGGTCTCGGCGTAGAGCTCCAAGTTGTTTAGCGTGCCGCTTGAGTAACGAAACGTTGGAGACAGGCAGACAACTTGTGCTCCACCGGACGCAAGTCTCTTGACGTGCATCCGTGCGTTCCGCAGGTTTTCGGATTTGTTGGTTGTCAACGACAGTTGTAGCAGCGCCAGGTAGAACTTGCTAGCTCCCATAATACTTCCAAAAAAAACAGACGTCCGCAGACAGACTCGTGGCTCTTTGTTGATGTGCACCGAGCTTGATATAGCCGTAGTTTTATAAAGCAAAGCGAATTAAGTTTGCGGCGCTATTCCACATTCGTTCCCTTGCAAAAAATAAGGGGTAATTATATCTGCGCTATAAGATAACGTTCGCCATTAATACACAGACATAAATTATATGGAGCGTAAGGGTATATAAATAGGCTGTTATTCAAAATATTAAAGACAAACAAATTTAGTCACCGTGTTTTATGCACCTGCGCCCAGAGTCTCTTCCAGTTTCCACAAAAGTTTCGCAACTTTTAAGCTCTAAAACAACGTGTAACAATTTTCCTGGATGGTATTTAGGTCGAAATGCGACGCTTGCTGGAAGTCGCCTTTAGCATGATGATTTGAAAAGACGAGAATTGACTGAGAGAAAGTCAAGCAATACATAAGCTAAATCACTTTTGACTTGACATTTATGTTACTTGGTTCATGTTTATTGTAATACTAATGTCTTTTATTTTTATATCGTTCTACATTTAGCACGAACACAGGCCTACAACCCCGTGCCGCTCGGTGGAATATGGTATAGCCGCTAAGCCTTTCGTAATCTTCCGTAAAGGTAATTAACTAGACTGCCTATGTTTTTCACGCGATCGTGCATAGAAAGGCTGTCTTATATTTTCACACGACCTTAAAGTTTAAGGGTTTCCAACGCGACATCGATAACAGAAGTGTACACTCAAGCACCTGCGTGTGTCAGAATGAACATACATTTGTTTGTCCCCTGAATGATGCTTGGCAGTTTGTTTCAATGCGTGAGTAATAGTGCCCTGGTACATGCCCTGACCTCGGACTGGTTTGGAGCACACGCATATAAACTTCGCAACGTCGCCCCGGGATGGCGCAACGGTCCCACTGGCTCCGGAAACTGGCAAGGAAAAACCTTCTGCAAGCGCCGACGGATGCCGCCGGGGTGTATATTTCGAGAGGTTCGCCAAGAAGACGCATAGCAACGGAGGCCGCACTGGATGGGCTGGTTATAGACCGACACGCTGGTTCCAAACAAGCCCGCTTTTGCCCACACCAGGTGTAGGCACTGCGCGAGCGCAGCAACCAGATTCGCGTGAGTTGAAGCTTTTGCGCATGCGCCGTGGCGACAACAGCGCCACTGCAGGGGCGTGACGTCAGAGCTGTGACGTCACTCGACGTCCCCCTTCGCCAATTTCGGAGCTGCGTAATTGGGGACGACGGGTGTATCACTGGGAGTGGAGAACGGGTTAAACACCCCCCCCCCCCTTTCAAATGGAAAGGGCGTGGGGGGGTTACCACGGTGTAATGAGTAATTTGCAGACTGATGCCGCTTCGCTGCGACAGTCTACGGTTGGCTCCTTACAGAATATTAACCCACTTGGTGCCACCCGCACACGCGCTTCCCGGCGTCCCGCCGGCGACCCAAGTAAGAACCCCGCTGCCCTTCACTGCACCGCGGCTGCTAAGTGTTATGTCACGCCGTCGTTTTTTATAACCAACCAATCCTGTGCGGTCGCCGTCCTTCATGCACACGTTAAGTGACCTGAACTGCTGTGCGCCTACACAATTGGTTCTCTCCCTTCCCTCCCCCCTTCCCCCCCCCCCCCTCCCCGAATTCTTTTTTTACAAAGCCCTCATGCACACACCTGATCTGCTTGCACCAGGATGAAGAGAGTATTTCGTGAATGTTCATCCCACGGAAAGGTGCAGAGAGGCTGCATTCACCATGTTTTGTAATACCATATAACCATTGTGCGAAACGCTAAAGCCTTTCTTTTAGAATCAGCGTAGTGGCAGCAGTGGTTTCGGCCATTTTTTTTTTGCTCGCTCGATGCGCATCAGTATTTTCTAATGGGGGACCCATTATAATATAGATGAACGAGTCCACAGGTGTTTCAGACACTTAGTGTGACTGACTGTGATGCCTGCAACGAAACATAAAAATAAAAATCCGAGGTCCTTGAGTTATTTCTGATACAACACTTGATCCCAGACTATCTCAAAGCATACCTAAGCGCCGCCGTACAGCTGCAGGCATATGTGAGACGACGAGGGAGCGAGCCTTCCATAGTAACTCACTACGAAGAAAACCTTCACGCTTGTTTTATGACACGTTTTCCCGCGTCCTTAACAGTTATTGCAGCGATTCGTTGACTGCGGACGGATACTAATAAGATAATCATACTTGGGACTCGCCACGCCCCTCGTTTCTTAAGTTCACAAAGGGACATCATGGATGGCGGAAAAATGTGATTATATTCCAACAGCTGATATTGTCACGAATGACAATTGATTACCTAGAGCCCTTTCGCAGAAGCGTAATAAATAACAGTATCGCTAAAAGTTTTTCACTCAAAAATATAGAAATCAAACTGCTCGCTTACGCGGATGATGTTGCCCTATTTTGTATTTTGCAAGGATAGGAGGAGTATTGTCGAGGCAGCACGTGAGGTGAAGGACTATTGCGAAGAGACTGGCGTGGCTGTCAATTGGCAGAAGTGTTGTGGCCTTTGGCATGGAACTTGGGCTACTAAACCCGATGTTTTTCAAGGCATAAATTTTACGTCGACGCCGACCCGGTATTTATTTGTGTGTTCGACTGCAGCATTGCAAAAACTTCAATGCGTACTGGACTTTGGCAGTTGAGGAAACACGCGAGAAGGCTAGTAAATGGATAGGGTGGAATCTTTCCATTTTCACGCGCGGGACTGTGTTTAATATTTTTTTTACTTGCGAAATGTTGGTATGTTCTTCAGGTTTTTATCTGCCAGATTAAACGTACAGAAGTTGCACCGCGTCTCTGCTGTGTTTATCTTGCAGTCTGGATGCGAAAGTGTGCGTCGTGATAATTTGTTTTTGTCGCGTTTGCAAGGTTGCTTTTTATAGAATCTGTTTGTAAATTAAATCTGCCTATTCGTCTTTAGAGTGCCCGTCTGACTAGATGCCAACTCTGGATGTATTAGAGAACTTGAAAGAACTTTAGTCTATTCATGCGTACTATCCACCTATTATGTCATTTTATCATTGTGTGTGAATTTTTGTTTTTTGTCAAATGTTACCTTCGTTGTCACGTGGCCGCCCCCAGCTCTGACATCATCATCATGTGACCGACTAATGATTGACAAGTCCCAAAATTCGGGGCCGAGATAATCAATCCATCACTCAGTTTTAATGTATTTCTCAAGCAACTTTATGGGCCTTTTTTAGAGTTACACTTTACATTATAAAATATCACTGAACTAAAGAAACTACATGGCAATCCTAACCACAATGCTATTCTTGAACTTTTTAATGGGTGCAAAAAAGTCAACGTAAGGGCTAAAATACTTGTAAAATATTGGGTTGTGTGTATGTTTATACAGCCTAGAACTTGGTCTGCCTCAACGGGGCACGAGCTTCCCAGCTGTAGATGAGCAACTTAGTCAGTGCAGTACAGCCGCTAGCCTGGGGTCTTTAACGTGCACCACGCAGTAGTGATACACGACCGCACACCGGTACGATGCTCATCCAGGTCGAAATGGGCAGGGGGTAGGAATTTAACCTAGGATTCCTGGGTTCTGCAGCGTGAGCTTTCGCTACTTGTTGTACATGAGCATCATCCGTGTCAGCGGGGGACTGGACTGCAGTCTAGATAAGAGGGGTAAAAAAGGAGTAGACCTGTTTTGCCGCTGGGGGACATGAATTGATATTCTACCCATTAACATTGGGGAATCAAAAACAGAATTAAACAACTTTATAAAAACACCATGTCGCGAATTAGTCGCCTAGTTCGTGACAAGTATTTCCGAGTTTACTAGCCCCCTCATCGTAGTTGAGGGTGTCCCGAGTTTACGGTAGAAACTTGGCGATCAGTCCATAGAAATGATCTTATGAAGCATGATCTAATGAGGCCATGGGTGTGAGAAGGGGGGCGTGGGAACGTGACGTCATGGTCACGTCGGAGAATGCTACACCATTAAATTGAGGCGCGTCCCGAGTACTTGCGCTGAATTTGTTTAATTTGTGTACGTGACCAAAATTTGTTTATTTCCTGTTCAAAATGAATCATGGTATATTTGTTGACGTACTAGCAGTAATTGACAATGTTTTAGAGTTAATATCAGGGCCAGCTGACGTTGAAGTTTTGAGGCTGATTATATAGTTTTAGGATTCCTGCGGTGGAGGTTGAAATGGGTTTCACGCAACAGTGGTATACCACTGGCACATACGGGATGCTGCTTAAGGGGTCAGTTGTGAAAACGGATGTGAAAAAATTATTAAGAACCCTTGGACAGCTGACATCGGGTGTGGGTTGGCCAGAGTTCCTGATCACGGTTATACTCGTCGGGTGACATATTTTTCCAGACATTTTGGGGATTATTTATCAGTAGAGCTGTCAAATCACTATTTAATTACTTTTTTTAGATCTTTTAAAGAAGCAGCATATTTCTTTTGGCAGCTTGAGTACTTTGTGAAGATTTCGTCAAAAATGGACTGTCTATCCATCTGAAAGGGTCGTTACTTATTATAATAGAGTACTTTTAGTGCATCATAAAAACAGGGTTGGTTCATGTCGGAACGGATGGGAACAAAGGGAATGTGAGCATCAATGAGATCAGCAAATTTATTTTTGAAAGTGTTCCAATTACTTTCTAAGGTGCGAATATGGGACTTGGCAATAAATGAAACAGAAAAGTGCAGAAGTTTCTGATCACTTATACCGCAGTCAGCTTTAACTTTTAACAGCTTTATCTCTTAACAGTTTAACAGTATGTCGATTTTGGGGGGTAGATAGGTCTAGTTTTAGATTAAGAAGTTTGTGGACACTGAAGCCATCGCTACAGGTTACAGAAGTTACAACATCGGGTGCAGACGATAATCCCGAATCCAAAATTTTTTTACCTCATGTGCTAACGGATAATATTTTCGTGAGGTTGAAGTTTAGGCATATGTCTAGGAAATTTGTTTCGCTTTTACCTTGCGGTGAAAGTGATGTCCAATAAATAGATGGAAAGTTCGAATCACCAAATCAAAAAGATGTCAGCATTCGGATTAGTCGCGGTGGATCATGCTTAAGTTATTATAAAATGAATCGCAGAACGGCGAGTCACTGTTAGGTGGTCGATAGCAGACACCGATCATAGGTTTTCCAAATCAAATGAGCAGACAGATTCATAATATTTCGATTTATTTTTATCACTTTGTATTATGAATTAAGGAGCATCTTTTTTGACGGCGACTAAAAAACCGCCCCCCCCCCCTCCCCCTCCTTTCCGTTTTCTCTATCTCGGCGATAAATGTTCAAGTTAGTACAAGAGTCAAATATTTCTATTTAAAGTACGCCAGATTTGAGCTCGGTTTCTGTTAAGATGAAAATGTCTGTCTCGTTATCATAGACAGAACAAGAAAGTGACTCATGTATGGGAAATAAACCCCGGATGTTAGTAAATAGAACTAAAAGAGGGAAGTTATTAACCGGAATCCTTAATAAGACTAGATTAGAAGAGGCAGGCTATAATCACTTACAAAACGAGACCGGCAAGGAGGAGTCTCAGTTACCAAGCCTCCAGCCCGGGCTTCCAACCTTTTCCTACTTCGACGTCTCGTGAGGCTCGAGCGTGTGTGCGCAGTCAAACAATCTACGGTGGAAGGAATGGAGCGCGTGTTGGAGGCCAGGCGTTTCAGAGAAACGCCCTGCCGCTCCCAATTTACCGGTGGCTATAACTGCACTTTCGTTTCCCGTGCCTTTATTGCTCAAACTTTTTGGGGGGCCGCGACCCACAGCTTGAAGAAGCAGTGGCTTAAAGCACTATACTCGTTTTCACGTCAACAATAAAAAACAAAAATTGTGCAGAGCTCTTACGTTTCGCTACGTATTTACTACAGGATTTCGTTGTCGAAAAGACCGAAATATTTTGCTTTTGAAACGCATACGTTTTGAGAAAATTGCATGAATCTGAAAGGTTTTAAGATGTCTTCTTCGTATGAAGGGTTAAATTAGTACTTATCCGCGATGAGCCACTTGTTTATGCCGGTTTTTGGGTTAAAGATTAGGATTATCAGCGAAATGTTCGCTGCCGATCTCAAGCTTTCGTGGTGTCTATTGTCAAATGAAAATCTGTAATAATATTGCAATTGGGGCGTGTCCAAAGTAGCTATATCGAAATTGGTGATAGGGTCTCGCTTCATCTCCCAGAATAGCTCTTTTTTTGGCTAGGCACTCAACTTTTGTCTAAACGGAGAACACGTTCTTGAAAAACTTTCTGTCATCCTCGCTGCGTTGACGGTTCACGACGGCGTATAGGTCGTGTCTGTGGTGCTTCCTTACGGGCGTCTCCTTTCTCAACGAAGACAGATGCTCCAAGTCAACTTCCGCCATTACCACTGCTTCATCAGGTCCCGCCGACTGCACTACAACATCTCCCTGCGGATCGATCAGCATGCTGCGTCCGCAAGAACCATAAGACGCGTCTTGGGTCCTCGCAGACGTCACCGATGCCACGTAGATCTGGTTGTCTATCGCGCGCGCTCTTTGAAGCAAATCCAAGCAAAGAGGACTCAAAGTTGTGTTGAAGGAACCAGGAAAGACCAGAAGCTTGCAACCGAGGTCCGCGTAGATGTGCGCTAGAGGGGCGAACCTCACCTCTTGGGAAAGTCCGACTGCCACTTTGCAGAAGGGAGTGTCGAAGGTAGTCAGGTGATCACCGGGCGTCAAGTAATCCGACTCACGAAAGGCTTGCCTGCCCGGAACGTTTACAACAAGGATGTTCAATCTCCGATGCTTGGCAACCATGGAGCCATCGGGACCGTAAACCAGGCAGGTGTCGTACATTTTTCCATTGTCCTTTTCGGCCATAGAACCTCCGACGAGGTAGATCCCGTTCGTTCTTGCGGTGGAAGACAACATCTCACTTGTCTCTCCTGGAATGGTTTCAGCGCAGAACTGCAAGTTTTTTAAAGTGTTGACTGAGTAACCGAACGTTGGAGACAGGCAGATAACCTGTGCTCCGCTGGACGCAGCTTTCTTGACGTGCATCCATGCTTTTCGCAGGTTTTCGGATTTGTTGGTTGTCAACGACAGTTGTAGCAGCGCCAGGTAGAACTTGCTGGCTCCCATAATACTTCCAAAAAACAAGAATCCGCAGCCAGACTCGTGGCTCTTTGAACGTGGCTCTTTGAACGGGGGGAAGGGAAGGTTTAACACGCTGTAATGAGCCATGCGCAGACTGAAGCCGATTTGCGGCGACAGTCTGCGGATGGCTTTTGACAAATGATCAACCCAGCTGGGCCACCTGTACACGCCGCCTCCAGGCGCCCCGCCGGCGGCCCAAGTGCGCACTAGCCCCGCTGTGCCCCCAATCCACCTGGGTTGCTAGGTGTTACGTCACGCTGTCGCTCTCTATAACCAGCCAAGCCTGTGCGGTCGCCGCCCTTCATGCACACGCTAAGTGACCTGATCTGCTTGCACCAGGGAAAAGAGAGGGTTTCGGGAATGTTCATCACGGGCGAAGGGGCTGAAGGGGTGAATTCGCCATGCTTCGTTGTATTATATGACCGTCGAGCGATATACTAACTCTTTTTTTTGTGTGAATCAGCGTGGCGGCAGCAGCGATTTCGGTCGTTGTTTTTTTTTCTTGCTCGACACTCATCAATATTTTCTAATGGGTCCCACAGATGAACAAGTCCACAGGTGTTTCCGCCACTTATTGTGCGTGATTTTGATGCCGGCAACGAAGCAGAAAGATAAAAAGCAGAGGTCTCTGGGTTACCTTTAGGATACAACGCTTGTTTCCAGACTCTTTTAAAGTATACATATCCGCTGCCATACAGCTGCAGGCATATGTGGGACGACGAGGGAGCGCTCCTGCCATAGTAACTGACAACGAAGAAAATCTTCACACTTGTTTTCTGATACGTTATCCCGCGTCCTTAACAGCTAATGCAGCAACTCCTTGGCAGTGGAGGGATCATAATAAGATAATCGTACTCGGATCTCGCCACACCCCTCGTTTCTTAAGTTGAAAATGGGAGATCAGTGATGGCGGAAAATTGTGATTATACTCCAACAGCTCAGATCAACTACACTCGCTTTCACTAAATGTCAGGGATCAAAAAGCAGAGTCAAAGGCTGGAAGACACGATGACGCCCAAATTAAAACGCAACATTTACACTCTAAGAAATGCTTGTGCGTCTAGTTACCGGCAAAACACTCGAAGAGCTAATCTTTGCGATCTACGGAATCAGCTCAGCGAATGATGAGGCGGGACCTCCGTTTAGGCCGAAGTGTCCACGTGGCATTACGGAATGCATAGCGTCATGCTTGCCAGGTACGTAACCAGGAAAGGGGGAAGGGGGGAACAGGCCCTCCCCCCAGGGTTCCCTTTTGCTGGTGCATCCTCTCCCCCCTCACCCTCATACAGCATGTATCCATGGGCGCCCCCCCCCCCTCCCCCCTTTTCGAATCAAAATCCTGACTACATGCCTGTGCTTGCATTGCGTAATGCAAAAGCGCAGGCATAATTTCGAGGTCTAAACAGTTGTCCAGCCTCATCATTCGCTGAGCTCATTTCGTAGACCGCTGAGATTGGCTCTTCAAGTGTTTCGCGGGTATGTCGACGGGGAGGCATCTCTTAGTGTAGTCGCATTGAATGGTTGGACTAGTTTAGGTAAAGTCTCCTGATACTTTTTTCTTGAGGCCCGTTCACACACATGCGACATCTTACAACCGGGTGTCTTGGAACCCCTTGATATCTCTTAAAACGAAAAGACACACTGGCGCCATCTATTGGGTAGCACTGTAAACTTGGCGCTCCGGCATATTTTCTATTTCTCTCGCGCATTATCCTTTCTTTCTTGGCTCGAAAACCTTTTGTCAACGTTATAAACGAGCTTTCTTGTAGGTATTACGCGGATTTGACCTCGGAAATCCCGCAAAACCTTCGCTAATCTGGAATGCAGTTCCAGGGTCACCGCATAGATGGCGCCAGAGTGCCAGTGTGTTCTCTCGACCTAAAAACTTTTAAGAGGTTTCAACAGGTCTCGTCTCTCTCGATCGTACTCGGTTGCAAGAGTGTGAACGGGCCTTCACAAGTAACGACAACCAATACAAAGGACAAAGCACATTCCGCTGGAACAATATCGCGTCACTCAGTTTAGTGCTCTGCTGTCCGCCGCCATTCGCTTCCTAAAACCAGCACCGTCACGCAGTGGGCGCTTAAAGGCATGGCGCTGCTTGTAGGAAGGTCTTATTTAAGAACTATAGACCAACTGCTGTTTACAAACAATCCGGAGCGCCCCTAGCGGACGCCACCGGTGCCTCGTATGCGCGATGGAGTGTGGGCGAGAAGCTCGCTGTTGCCCATAAATAAACCATTGAAATGCGATGTTGTTGGCGTCGGTGTGAGTCCCCGTGCTCTCTTTCACGTTGGAATTGTTGATTCTACGTCTTCCTGGGCAACGTCTGACTACTTGAGTGGCCTGAGCGAAGTTACCAAGGCTTGTTACACCGCAGAACTTCGCGTGAATAATGTGACATGCGTTGATTCATTCCAAGTAGACGCCACAGAATGGACACTAAAGCCTGATTCTCATGATGAGACGCCGCTGGCTATTCTCAGTCGCGACCTCGCTCGGGCTGCAAAAGCGTGAACCGCAGATGAGATGGCCGATGTCGATACTGAAAATCGCAAGCAGAATAAGACCAAGGGAATCAGGCATAACAAGTCAGTGATGGTCGGTAACAATGATCAATATCTCCTCGTATCTACTGTTTACATTGAGCCTATTTACCCCAACCAAACTTTAAACTTAAAGGTATTTGTATGCCTGCACTTACTTCTTATCGCAATTACCGGGCCAACGTTTGGTCTACGGACCGGTGTCGTCAGAAAGAACACGCGACAAGCAGAAACGTTTAAAAGAGCAGAAGACAGTTCGAATGATCAGGCGGCCGTTTGAACTTGAAGATGCACTGAACGTAGTCCGCAGGTGCTCTGTAAAACTTGACGGGCTTCCCGCGTTCATGTTGGAACAAAACAAATAAATTTGAAGACCACAAGTGTCCGTGAATTCAACCCAAAGTGCTTCCAGCCCAAGCAATGGTGGTCCGACGGCATCTGGTTTTTCCTTTTCACGGCACATATCCACGCTCTAGGACGACCTGAGAACATGAAAACTGACCTTCAAACCTTTCCCGACTCTTTTGGTACAGCCCCAGTCGCAGGCGTTTTGACGTGAAGGCAGGCTTTTATGTGGTTTATTTCTAAACCACACAGAAATGTCCGTCCCATATGGTGACTTCCTCCCACAGCCCCAGGCCAGAAGTGCGTTGGACGCGCCACCACCGCGCCGTGACGTAACAGAGTTGATTTTGAGTATTATTTTCAATGACGATTCCCTAATAATAAGTGTAGCCTTTAAAAAAATTACATTCAAATTAACCACACTTGAGCCAACTTGGTGCTTAAAATCCGTGTTGCCAGTCCTATGAAGCTGTTCTGAAATCGCAGGAAGCTCTTTCCCGCCCTTTGAGACTGCTAAAACAAACCACGCAAAAAAGAAAAAAAAGTCACTTAAGGTTTTTGACATTGTATCTGGAGATAAGGAAGTCGCATTTTCGAATCGTTAAGGTTTTCACTTTCGACCGCTCTGCACTAAGCATCTAGATGACGTTGCCATCAACAGAATCGGGGAGGGTGGTACCAATACTCTAAGTGTGTAGCTTAGTTAGTGGGTCAGCAATAAGACGCACCAGTTATAGCTATGAAGCGGGAATTAGAACTGTCCTTATGAAAATCTCTTGTCAGGAAACTTTCCTTGACACTTGTCCATCGGGACGAACGGATGCACCAGAGGAGAATTTTTGTCGGCGTGATCTAACCAATCAGACTGGGCGAAGGGCCTTTGTGGAAACCTCTAGTCGCTTACAAGGTGAAAACGGCAGTTAGCAGCTTCAGTTTTTCCGCCTCCAGCGAGAGCTTTGTACCCTCTAAAAAGGTTCGGTGTCTCATGCACCTCGAGCGCGCCCGCGCAGCCAAAGTACGGGGCAAGGCATGCAGTGTACCCTGGTGGCCGGCCGGGAATTAAAAAGACGAACACACCACCGTTCTAACACTTCGAGTGACTCTAACGACCCTTTACACACGCCTCAGAATGTGCTCAGTGTTTAAAAAGGCTTCTCAGCTTGTCCTAGTTCTTAAGCAGGTAAAGCTGTTTAAAATCTACCAATCCGAACATCGTCGTTGCAGCAGTACTTTCAGACAAAATTTGAGGTGGTAAGCCATATGAGGAAATTTTCATGGCCATAACACCACAGAAGCTGCTTCTTTTGTTATTGCCTTATGTACCCTGCTGGCTTAGGATATCTTTGGTAATTGAACAAAGTAGATATCTTATATCCTATGTTATTGAGACTTGTCACCTCGTTTGTAGTCAAGTTTATTTCCTAGACATCTCCAGGAGATGTGAATCACCCGAATCCCTTCCTCGTTCATGGTCACATAGTCCACACAAAGGTCCTCGATCGAAGAGGGTGGAATCTGGGTCACATGGACGTCGTATTCTACCAGGATCAAGCCAGCCTCCGCAACACGTACTTTGGAAGGACAGAGCAGGATCGACGGTAATCCTCAACGTTCAATGCCTTTTATGTTGGCTTTCACGAAGACAAAATCGCCCAAAGGAATCCCCTCCGCTTCAGAAGATCCTGAACGTTCTTTCGGAATATTAACATATAAAAAAAATAGTCGCTATTTCTTTTTATTTGTTTGTGCAAACAGTTTTTGACTAGGGGCTTTTTAAGTAATTAGAAGCCAGAACGGATGTGACGAGGACGATGGGTAAGAGGAGAGAGAGAGAGAAACAACTTTAATGGAACACCCCATCAAGAAGCCGCATGATAGAGGTTTACCTACCGCGGCTTCTCAAAAAGAAAGAAATTCTGTTCCCGAACTAAAAAGGAATGCATGCGAGGTGGCTTTTCTCTGTTCTGGAAGAGGAGAAATAAAATAGAGGGGAGACGGAGCCATAGACACCAAAACAAGCAAATAATACGCGGAAAAAACGTTAGAGCGCTGGTTTGCTTAGCTGAGCTTATTTCGAAGTGACATAGCATGCCT